AGGCAATGTTGCAACGTAGATCAATGGAACCTCCCTGAAATCTACAAGAGTGATCTTAGCAAATTCTCCCAGTAATGGGGGATAAAGAGCCTGAAATGGCCATCATCCATAACCAGGAAAGGCTCCAAGCAGTGGGCCTGGGTCATCAACCCAGTCACAAAACTTTTGACCTACTGCCCTGCCTGCAAGATCTGCTGGGATAAAGGTGGAGCAGAACTTGTGAGGGTGACAAACCAATGACTGAGGCTAATGCTGTGAGAGGGAGCCCAGTGTCTGACAGTTCCTCGATGGCCAGGAACCAGCGGCGGGATCACCCAGAGACCCAGGATAGAACCAAACAAGTCTAATTAAAATTTAAAAAAAGTCAGTGAAATGATTCATAATGACATTCTGTTATACTCACAGGTGCCTAGCCAAATTATCTCAGAGAGGGGATGTCCAGCAACTGATAGGAACAGATGCAGAAACCCAAAGCTGCACACTAGACCTAGCCAGAAGAGGGAGAGGAAGGATTGCAGGAGCCAGAGGGGTCGAAGTTTGAAAATTGTTAAGTTTAGATAATCATTGGCTAGCAAAATGGCCAAGCAGCACACAAGAATTTCAAGGACTGCAAAGTGAACCTATTGTAGTTCACCCGAAAAATTAAAATGTAATGTCTTTTTCCTCAGGGGTTTGAAGTTCCATTGGGATAACATCTGAAAAACACGTGCTATCAAGCAGCGCAGCATATTACTAATGTCGCCATCGAGGCAGCTCTGTGAACACTGCCACCACAGCACAGCTTTTACGCTTTGTTACCTTTTGACATAAATGACTACTTACAAAACCTGAAAACACCGTGAAAATGTCAGCGCAGTCCTGGCTTCTGCGCATGCCTGGCTTCATGAACGGCGCAACCTGGAGGTCTCCCGCTATCCCTCAGTTGAAATCCTGAACGCCTCTTTTCTGGAACAGTAAGTGAAAACAAATTTTAGGAGTATTTCATTTATTGAGTATTGTCTTCTAAATTACAAATCTAAAAGTATAATTTACGGAATATTGTTCCTTGTAATGTAATTCTAGCACCAACCCACTGACTGCAAGATGACATTTCGTGCATTTCAGGAAAGGTTGCCAGACTCGGGGCGCTGTATGTGTCAACAGAGGTGTTAAATTGGACTATTAAGGAGTTAGCTAGCCCCTTTCATATTGCGAGTAAACCACTAAAGCATACCTTTTCCCAAAATGGATTGTGATGAAAGAGTTCATTTTTAAAACTGAACATGTGCTTAGGTTAAAGGGGAGGCAGTGCACACTAATAATTCAAAACGCTACACATACTTTGCCTAATTAGCAAAGGGCTCTTCTTTGAAGCTGTCAAGGAGAGTGGAGTGTCTGCATGCTATGAGAGTTTCTTCACCGCTACTTTCTCTTCTCCGTAGCAATGTTTAACAGAGAAGAAAACACTTTGTAAATATGTCATGGCTTGGCAAGAGATAGACAGCTAAGCAAACAATTTTCTGCGAGAGCACTAGGTGCTAAGAAACTCAGTCTCGCCATGGCGTGATTTCTCTCTTTTGGAAACTGACAGTTTAGTGTGAGGAAGGGATGCAGAAAGAGGCCATTTTAAAATAAATTTTTTACATTGATCTTAGCACAAAAGAGCTCAATGGTGTTTCAGGACACTTAGCGTTTGCCCAGAATATTAAAGTAAGGCGATCTATAAATAGTATTCAAAGATAAGTTAGCCACGTAGAGAAGGGGCCAGGAACTGCGAACTCATGAGAACTTTCCCAGTACTGCGGCAGAATTGCTGAGTGTGGATGTGCAGGCCAAGCTCTGATGTCCACTCCATATATAACCGGGACTTGCAAACTTGCACCTTTTTATACCTTGTCTTTCTACAGGATGCTGCTTTCTATAATTCGTTTAGTGAGAATTGGTACCCCTTTGCATTGCTCTACTAAAAGAGGCCCTTTCTGCAATTTATACAAACCTGCTATACATGGAACTATGCTGATGATTGGCAAGCAAGCAGAGGTTCTTTTTCTTACTAGTATTCATTAGAAAGTTGATTATCTTGCAGCCCTTTATTCTCTAGAGAAAAATTCAGACACTGAGTCCTCCTGCCTCTGTGTTGTTAGCAGGTAGCAGACTGAGAAGAATTGGAAAGAGTTAAGTTTCACCCTGGGCTGCTTCTTCACAGTATAGATCTCAGTTAAAACAGAGCAAAGGAGCCTGGCTGCGGTATGTATATCAGTGGTAGAGAACTTTTAGCTGGTATTCTGGAACCTCGGGGGTGATCTAGAGGACCATAAAACCAATCCAAGCAGAACACCCCCAAACCAAACAATAAGAACAACAGGATACTCATTCATGGGCTTCTTCTCAGAAGGGAACAACTGTTTTTTGAGTTTGCTCCCAGGAAAGTTATGTCCTAGGGGCTTCTTGGTTTCCACATTTCTACATAAAGCATCTCCATTTTTTTTGTTCTTTCTTTCCCACTAATTTTTCTGCAGACTGCAGTCATAAATTCTTTCCAGCATATTCCTCTCCCTCTCTGCCACTCACTCTCTCTATTTCTGTCTCTGGCTTCTGACTCTGTCTCTTTCTGCTTCTCTCTCTTTTTTGTGTGTTCTCATCATTTGATCTGTTTCTCTTACACACACACACATACTGTTTTAGGTTTGTTTTGTGTTCCTGCAGTAGGTGATGCAAATTTATCCATTCCCCAAGGACAATGTCCCAACAGCATAAATAGAAATATTTATTAATTTTAGAAGAGGTAAATTTCCAGAGAAAAGCAGAGAGGAACATGTATAAATATTAAAGCGACATAAGAATGCATACTGGAAGTCACATATAAAAGAATAATTTGGGAATCCCTGGGAGAGTGACTGGTGCACACATCATTTTGTTTAACTGAATAAAGGATTCTTATTAAACTAACCTTTTCAGAACTCCAATAAGCAAGGGCTTAGCTTGATTCGCCTTTGTCTAAGAGGTTGCTAGCAAATAGTAACCCCTTACAAAATAAAGGATTAAAGTTAAGTAGTTTAATTATTATTCCATAAGCAAGATTAATGGAAAAGTGCTGAGAAAGAAACACCAGAGAATAAGAGGAGTAGTTCGTCAGGGAGGGACTCTGGAGGGGGAGGCAGATTGGGAGAGACAGCAAGCAGGCCCTGGGGAACTGGGAGCTACTGCTCCTGAAGCAGGCGGGTTTGAAATAGTTTCTGGCTGTGAGATAAGAAGTCAGAAGGAACTCTATGGCCTGCGCACCACTGAGTGGCAATGCTTCGGACAGTGCTAGGCTGACAACCACTTTCTTTGGAATCATCAACGTTATTCAGAAATGTGATGCTGGATTCCTGGGTTCTGCCTTGTGGTACAGCATCACTGCTTATAAGAGCAAGACTTAAGGTCTAACTCTTTCATCAGCATTCAGTAATTCCTGGATCCATGAGCATCAAAAAAAAGGTGGCTTACAGGACGCCAGACACCATGTGATGGCTGACATACAAATGCAGAAGTTTGATTATTTGATGGAATGAGGACTGTAGATATTAGAAAGAAGAAGTTCATCTCTTACTAGGTGTGGTGCAGAGATTTATTGCTACCTCAAATTAAGCTTTAAATAATCGAATATACTTTTTAATTGTTATTTTCTTCTTTTAAAACAGTTAGTCACTTTATACACAAACTGGAATGGCTTGGGACTGAGTGAGAGGAAGGGGGTAAATTTCTGGTGTACGCACAACAAAACATCTTGTTTATAGTTAAAAATTTAAAATGAACATTTTTAAACAAGTATCCATGGCATGAGATAAAGTGCCTTGCAGGTTAATATCTAACAACTAGCCCTTTGGGAAAATATCCTGATGTGTAGATACGAACTAGTTCTACCTGGGTGAACTGCATGTTGTCAGTAGCTTAATGCCTGACTAACAGAGTTCCTAAGGTCCTAATAAATCAGGGCTTATGAATCAGAGCTTCTGAGTGTCGGCTGGCTGCCCTCATTTATGTATGTTCCCTGTGTTTACCATTGTTTCTCAGTGTGGATGTTGCAACTGATTTATTATATCAAGCAAAGCACAGCCCCAGTCAGCTGCTGTATGCTCTTGCACTTCCTCATGCTCTGTACTTTTTGAATCATTATAATTTAGATACGCTAACATGATCCATAAATGCTTTACTTAAAGTGTTTTCCTACATTTGTTCATCAGTGCACTTTGAAAATTTAACAAAAGTGCAGTATTTCAGGGGGAAAGCTAGTAATAGCCATGAAATGAAATACACTAATCAAAATTCTGTATTAAAATTCAATGGTGTCACAGTATAGGATGCTGTCTAATTCAGGTTTCAACATTTTTCCCTTCTGAAAAAATAGCTTGGGTTGGAGAGCTGGGGGGGTTTCTGGCTCAGTCTTTAGAACACTCTAAATAGCTGTGCTCGATATCCACTGGGAAGAGGAAGCTGTTGTCCCCTGGCCGCCCAAAGGTCGGGCAGGAAAATATTTATATGATTGAGTCGTGTAATTGAAAGGAGAGGAAAGGAGAAGTGTAGCAGAATTTTAAACAGCACCTCACTACCCAAAGACTTTCCAGGTTGGAGGGAGGAGTGTGTGAGCAGGTAGTGCTCGCAGCCAGCAACATCTCTTTGGGAGACACTGGCTTTGTTACCATGAGCCCTCTCTGAGCTGGATCCATGTCTCTGGCCTTTTTTTCTCTCCCTCACCCTCCCTTGAGTTGTCGGGTATTTGTTTGCTTGTGTTTCGTTTCTTTCTTTTTTTTTTTTTTTTTTTTTTTACAAATCACAAGACAGTAGTTTGTTCATTCCATTAGAGAATTAGGTAAACTTCATATTACAAAATCAAAGTAAGTATAATATTGAAGAATTAGAATATCTTCAGGAAACCAGTTACAGTTTAACTGAAGTGGATGTGAACACAGGATTGGTGTCTATTGAGGAAAGTCACGTTCCTCTAATATATGAAAAGATAACAAGATACACTTTCTTAGTCATCGAGGAAGAAATTTTCTTTCTTGACAAGCTGGTACTATTTTTTTTGTAGCTCTTTTCCCTTCTCCTTTCTTTGGATTCACCTTTCCACGGAGCTTCTTTAGACGTCTTAGCTCATCCTTAAAATCCTGATGCTCATCTCCGTAGAGGCCAAGGAAATGGAGTGTGCCCATGAGTGCAAAATACGTGTTGTGATTTGGATACCAGTCATAAGTCTCTCTCTTTTTGGCCAAGGGCTGCTCCCTGAACATATTCACCACTTTCATGGACTTTGAATCAGTAGGCCTGGCCACTTCACCAAAGATCCGGGCACTTAGAGGAAACATATGCAGTGCATATTCTGAAAGCGAAGCCATTTTTTAAGCAGTGAGGTACAAGATTTCCTGCGTCTGACCTTGCTCGTGTGCGTCCCAGAAAGTCCTGTTTGCTTGTTTTTTTTGTTTTTGTTTTTTGTTTTTTGTAAAAATATTGTTTTTAGAAGATTTTAGAGAATTGAAATTAAATTTGTTGAAGTGTCATTAGATTGTTCTTCTAATGAGCAATTCCCTCCATTCATATGGATTAATTGGCCGACCGATTCCAGTTGCTAGGCATCTGGATTACATGTTAGTCTGGACACCGTGCTCCTCCCTACTCATATGCTGCAGTCCCAGTGTATTTGAAATTAGGACCTATATAAGAAGGGGAGAAAAGTTACTGTTCTGGTAAAAGTTGAACACTAATCTGACAGGACTGGTAATTATATGAGGTTAAGAAGAAACACAAGTAACCTTCGTTACCTCCTCCCCTTGTGTTGTGGGCGTGGCAAGAGTAGTGATCATCTGTGAGCATCAAGAGAGCCCTCATAAGAACCTTTGGTTTGTACTTCCAACCTCCGAAAGTATAAGAAAATAAATAGGTCCTAAATTTTATTGCTCAAGACACCCTGACTACAGTATTCTACTGTGGCAATCCAAGCAGGCTAATTAAAACCAACATCCTTGAATCAGTCTGGAAGGGACAGCAATCCAGAAATGGAGTGCACACTTGAGAGTGATTTTCTGCTTGGTTTGAGGTGGCTGAATCTGCTTCTAGTCTAGACCTCTGAGGCAGGAAGACATGTGCCTTTGAGAGACATTTTAAGCCTGGAAGACATATGTTTTGCTAAAACTTGAATCAGGAACACACTCACCTTTGATCCAGACCTTGAGGCAGGAAATCACGCCTTTAACATGGGCCACAGCTTCTGCTGAAAGCCTATATAAGGACAATGGAAGAAGGAAGTTCTCTGCTTTGCCTGCTTGTCCTCATCTTGCTAGCACATCTATTCCTTCCTTGGTTTTGGAGCCTACTACTTCGTGATTCCATCATATTCAGAAGACCAGCTGAGATATCCAGCCTTGTGGGACTGAAAAACTACTAGATTATTAGACTTTTCATTCACATCTAGTCGTTGTTGGATTAGCGGGAATGCAGCCTGTAAGTCATTTCAATAAATCCTCGTCTATATCTATATATTTATATCCTTATCTATATCTATGTCATCTATATATACCATCTATATCTATCATTGTCTGTCTCTATTTATATCTATCATATCTATCTATCATCTATCTATCATCTATCTATTATCTATCACCTATTAATCAATCTATGGAGGGAGGGAAGGGAATGAGGGAAGGAGAGAGACAGAGATTCATTCCTTAAGTTTTGTGACTCTAAAGAACCATGGCTAATACAGACAGCTTCATTTGGGCTTATGGTCTTAGAGTTCTTAGTTTTTAGTCATTTGAATCTGTTTGTACTAAGTCCATGGCAGGACAGAACATTGTTGCAGGAGGCAGGTGGTAAAACTCAACTATTCACATCAGGCAATCAGCAAGTACAGGGAAAGAGAATGTTGAGAACAAAATCTCCTGTTCAAGTATGCAGTCTCAAATATTTCTTCCATTCAGCTTTGTCTACTAAAAGTTACACTTTTCCATACTAGCCCATTAAGTTATGAACCTATAAATAGATTAGTTCATTCATGATGTAGAGAGACTTCTTGACAATTTACCTTCCAAAGGTTCCATTTTTGAGCACATTTGCAATGGGGACCAAGTCATGATCTTTTGTAGAATATTCAAGATATAAACAACAATTTGCATACTACAAAATGGTAGTGCTTGGATTTGATTCCATTTTTCTTACTCAAGAGTTCAAGATCTTTAAGAATATTTCAAAAATGAAATATTAACATATAATTACTGCACATCCCCACTAAAGTTTTATTTCCTAAAAGTTACCTAGATTGTGTTTTATTCTCTTCCATGATGATACTGTTTATCTTAGTCCATGAGTGCTGACATAATAGAATACCAGAAACAGGGCAACTTCTGAAGGATAGAAATTAATGTCGTAGAGTTCCAAGGACTGGCAAATCTAGACAAAAATCTTCGGCTTGTTTCACAATGTAGTTAGATGCTGCTTTTTTTCTTTCAAGATGGTACATTCATTTTGAGGTTTTCAGAGGAGAAAATCGAGTGTTCTTAAAGGCTGAGAGATAGAAAGCAAAAACCAAACTCCTTTTGTTAAACCATCTCATGATGGTGTTGATACATTCCTGAGAGTGGAGACTCTGGATTCTCAGTTGTTCTCCACGAGGCTTCACTCCCAGCATGGTAGCATTCATTGGAGATTAGTTTTCTATCAAAAAATTTCTTTATGTATCCAGATCATCGCATCATTTATACATATAATTTTCAAGTGTTTGGGAAGGGAAGAGCAATATCTGAATTAGATTATGGGTCTTTAAAATTTATCTCTTTTGACTCCAAATTTTAATTGTAGTGAGTCCCCGTAGACTGATGGAAAAGAAAATGTTTAAGAACGTTGTAACAACTGATTTCGCCCTTTTTATTCAATGATGAGTCTGAGTTAAACTTTGATCTAGAAGTTCTGCCAACCTTAGTACAACTACAGTAGTATCTGCAAGACCATCCTTAATAAACAAATAGAACCTTTAACTTGAAGAGTCACTAGGCCACATTAGAGTATGTTGTGTTAGAGCTTGCTTTCTGTTGTGATAAACACTGTCTTGGCCACTGTCCTATTACTAACCTCTGTACTGTTTTTCTTCATTCCATTAACAGTATACCAAGGTTTCTTTGTTACATCAGTATTTTTAAACAATCTTTTTACTAACAAAAACACTAACGAGAGATTTGATACCTCAGTATGATTTTGATTTCCATTTTTATATTGGTGTTGATGCTAAACATTTTGTTTCATACAGCTGTGGCTTTTTTGTGACTTCTGTGGGGAAATGTCTATTTTGCTTTACTGCTCATCTTCCCCATCTCATTTATTTAGTTTCTTTTTGACTACTGAGCTTTTTTTCTTTTTCTCCCAAATTTCTTTGTTGTGTTGTGGATAGCAACCCTTTGTCCAATGCATGGTTTACAAGCATTTCTCCTATTCTGCAACTATTTTCTAGGCTAGGTTTCCTGGAACACAAAGAGTCTGTCAGTGTCAACAGTGTCCTTCCTGTGCTTGCTATCTTTGTCTTCTTCCCGCTTCCCTTCCTCTGGGAGCTCAGCTCTTTTTGACCTCTGCGTTGTGCATCCTTTTGAACTTTGAACATTCTGCTTCACTTCCTTTTGTAGCAGTTGTACACTTTCCCCCTGACAGTGCTTATCACGATGTGGTAAGGAGTCTTTTTTTTCTATCAGTTTCGTTCGGTGTGAAGAAAATTTATTAAGAGGTTAATTAGTAGAAATTTAATTTACTAAAGTGGCAATTTCAAAATCTAGTGTTTTTTGTTATGACTAAGTTCTTGCCTCTATCTTCTAAATACTGCCACTGAAATTTTAGTCTATCAAATTTACCACCACTTGTCAATGTTTTTAAAATAATGTTTGGCATCATTAAAAATTTAGCTTATTAGCAAAACTGATCAAAAAGATATAGTTGAATCAATCAATTAATTATACTCAATGTTCTTTTTAAGTGTTGGAATTTTCCAAATTAAAATCAAAATAAAAAGATCACTTTTTGCAGAATAAACTATTTCAATTAGTATGACACATGACGAAAAATTCCTACCTTCATAAGATTTATAAAATAGTACCAGTCTAATGCTGTCTTGAATTCTGTCTTCTGAAACCTCATTTTAGAAGATCACATTTTCCCCCTGGGTTTTAGTTGGCATATCCCAGAGACTTAAATCACATAAAGAAATATGGATGTTACTTGTTTAAGTCCTTTCTTCAGTTTTTGCACACTGTTGTTTCTTTGCTGTTGATTTCTAATAGTTGAATTTATGATTTATCCAAAACTATTAATGATCCCAATAGACAGGTCAATATGACATTTTTTTTTCTTTACCTGAATGGGTTCTCCTGATCAAGAGGTCCATGAATGATTATAAACTGGGGCTGAGAACATAAAGTACATCACAGATAAAAGACGGACTTGTGATTCTGGGGTCAATTGATCTGCTTGTCTTTTTTTCTAATGTGGATACTTTGAATTAATCTCCCTAGCAACAAATGAAACAGAAAAATAACCCACAATAAATATCTTCTTTTATAGGAATAGTTAGAATTTAAATATGCAAGGCATTCGCACTAGTCACTTGCCATATGGACATGGTTGCATTTTAATTATATTTGCTACCATGAAAGCTGCTGCCATGCTAGTAAGACTATGTCCGCACCAAAGGAGAGTTTGTCCTTTCATTTGTGAGGCCAGAGATTTCTGAAATTGGTAGTGGCCCAATATTAGTTTTCCTGAAAATTGTTTCCCCAAGTAGATGAGTCTTGTTTTTCAAGTGACTCATATTTTTGACAAACATCAGAACACTGGCCCTTTTCTCTTCATCAGGAGCTAGGTCTTTAGCACACTTGAAAATTTTTATAAACTTCAAAAAAATTGTATTTTATCTATTTCAATCTATAAAAGGTTTTCTCATTGCCTATTTGAAATGAATATTCTATTATAATGTCTTATTACAGGTTTAAGATTGTTCATTTGGGATTGTATAATCTCTGTGGTGGGAGTCGACTCTGGAGAAGGATTCTCCCTTTCCCAGGAGCAATGGTGATTGTATTCTCCCATCTGTACTTTGACCAGTTGTGGACTTTTGTGATGGTGCCCCATCTGTTGCAAAAAATTAAGTCCCTTTGTAGAGGGATAAAAGCTACACTTACTTGCAAATATAAGTATAGGACTTTAGAATGCAATTGAGAATTACACTGGCTTAAGAAAGTGCTGTATAATAATGGTAATAATAATAATAAATAAGTGGTTATGAATCTTAGAGGGAGTGGGAAAGACAAGGGAGGAACTAAAGGGGAAGAGGATTGGGTCAAAATGATATAAATAGAGTAGTCAC